AGTGGGTTGCCATTTCCTTCTCCACTCCCTAGACCTTTGACCCTGAGTGGAATACAGTAGTTCTCTTTCCTCCCACCTCCCCCACCAAGAACCGCTAAATACAGTTTTGTGACTCTAGAGGGCAGGGTCTGACTATTTGTTGTTCTGTCGCTTAGTTGTGTCAGACTCTTTGTGACTCCATGGACTGCATCATACCAAGTTTCCCTGTCCTTCACCATCTCCTGGAGCTTGCTCAAACTTATATCCATTGAATCGGTGACGCCATCTAACCATCTCGTCCTCTGTCGTCCCCTTCTTCTGCCTTCAATCTTTCCCAGCATCAGGGTCTTTCCAGTGAATCAGGTTTGACTATAGCCTAAGGCAGAAAACAAGTTCAAATTCAATGTCAGACATCTTTGTTCCTCTTAGGGATTTAGTGGCATCCATTCCACCCCACTTCCAATAGGTCGCGGCCTCCTGCAGTGCCCCTCTGAGCGTGGTCTCTTAGTCCCACCTCCGCCTCTTCTCCGAGTTCAAAGTCCAGCTCCATCACCCTTTCTGTCATGATGCCTTCCCCGTCATTGTGACTGAGGGTGACAGCCCCTGGCAGAGGCCCTGTGGCCCTCACCCTGTGCGTCCTTCACCCAGCGCCTCTGCACCCGTCACACGCCCCAGCCACCTTCTCAGGCAGACCCTTGTTTCATGGGAAGGAAGCTCTGGCTCACAGGTGAGTGTGGCAGGGCCACATGGTGCAGAGAGCGGAGCTTCCCCATCGAGGGAAGCTACAGCTTCCCCGGGAGAGACGTGGGCGTCTGTGTCCTGTGCTGCTGCTATTTCGGGACTTGACCCGCACAGCTCGACCTGTACTGTAACGAATAGGACTTCTGTGTGTCACCCTTGATTTCGCAGGCACCTCCGTCTTTTATAATTAGTAGTACGAGCATATGGTAGGCTTCGCTGGTGCCTCAGAGGTTAAAGGATCTGCCTGCAATGCGGGAGACCCAGGTTCAGTCCCTGGGTCAGGAAGATCCCCTGGAGAAGGAAATGGCAACCCACTCCAGTACTCTTGCCTGGAGAATCCCATGGACGGAGGAGCCTGGTAGGCTACAGTCCATGGGGTCACAAAGAGTTGGACAGGACTGAGTGGCTTCACTTTCACGAGCATATGGTACAAAGTTCAAAAGGCACAAGAAGGGTATCCTGTGAGGAGGACTTCTCCTCACAGCCTCGAGTTTCCCTCGCCGTGAGCATCTCCTGACGCCAGTTCTTGACATGCCCCCCTGGTGGCATCCTGCACACGTACAAGGCTGTGGGGTGTGTGCATGTGTGCACGAGCATTCACCGCCAATGGCAGCATGCCCCTTCATTCCTGCAACTTGAATTGTCACTCACCAGTGTATCTTGGAGATCCATATACATATTTTTATGAAAGTGAAAGTGAAAGCTGCTCAGTTGTGTCCGACCCTTTGTGACCTCATGGACTATACAGTCCTTGGAATTCTCCAGGTCAGAATACTGCAGTGGGTAGCCTTTCCCTTCTCCTGGGGATCTTCCCAATCCAGGGGTCAAACCCAGGTCTCCCGCATTGCAGGCAGATTCTTTACCAGCTGAGCCACCAGGAAAGCCCAAGAATCCTGGAGTGGGTAACCTATCCCTTCTCCAGTGGATCTTCCCAACCCAGGAATCAAGCTAGGGTCTCCTGTGTTGCAGGCAGATGGATTCTTTACTAACTATCAGGGAAGGCTATTATATATCAAAACCCATAGACCAATCTCATTTTTTGTTTATTTGACTGCACTGATCTTAGCTTCCCAACAGAGGATTAAACCTGGGCCTTTGACAGTGAAATCATCGAATCCTAACCAACCACTGAACTGCGAGGGAATTCCCTCAATCTCATTTTTCAAAAAAATTTTTATTTTTTATTTAGTTATTTTTGTTTTTGGCTGTACTAGGTCTTTATTGCTGCGCTGGCTTTTCTCTAGTTGTGGGCGAGCGGGGGCTACTCTCTAGTTGGGATGCATTGGCTTCTCATTGCAGTGGCTTCTCTTTTTGTAGGGCACAGGCTCTAGGGTGAATGGGTTCAGTAGCTGCAGCTTTTGGGCTCTAGAGCACAGGCTCAGTAGTTGTGGCACACGGACTTTATTGCTGCAAGGCATGAGGGATCTTCCAGGATCAGGGATCGAACCTGTGTCTCCTACTTTGGCAGGCGGATTCTTCACCACTGAGCCACCAGAGAAACTCTGAACCTAATTTTTTAAGACTGTGTACCATCATTGCATGGATGTCCCATTACTCATTTAATCTGTCTCCTGTTCTTAGATCATGAGGCTGTTTTCAATTATTTGTGCTAATGAAACAACGCTGAAACAAGTATCCTTGGATGTGTAGCACTTCTTCAAGATATTTCTTCATGAATAATTTAAAAGCCATTAACAAGTTTTAGGCAGGCGGTGTGGTATGTGGAAGTAAGTATTAAGCCAGGAATCAAAAAACTCCCCTTCAGTCAGATGTCGAAATAGAGGTCAATGAATCTCTCTGGGTATGAGTGTCTTCATTGGGAAATTGAAGCATTTGGCTCTCAAATTTGTAGGATTTAACAAGTACGCACTTTGTCCTGAGCCCTGTCCCATCCATCCCTCAGGTTTAAGGACCGGAGACCTTGTGCCTCAGGTACTGTGAGGCTCCCAGAGCTCCTTGGATTAACCTGTTTTTCACAGCCCAAAGGTTGGGACAATATAAACAGTGCAAAAAACAGATGCCTGTCCTGCCTGACTCCTGACTTGTCCCCATCTTTAGGCTGTCATCCTAGGCATTGCCAGCTGTTTCTTCTCTTTCAGACACTTTTTCTGAGCTCTGGGGTGTTTCTGTGCTTTTTTACATTTTTATTTTTTAATTTTGTTTTTAAAACATTTATTGAAGTATAGTTGATTTACAATGTTGTGTTCATTCCTGCTCTATGACAAAATTATACATGTGTATATTTTTCACATTCTTTTCCATTCTGGTTTTTCATAGGGCATTGAATATAATTCCCTGTGCTATACGGTAGGATGTTGTTTTTTTATCCATCCTCTGTGTATTAGTTTGCATCTGCTTTTGCTTTTTTTAAAAATGTCCTTCCCTCTTTGCTCTACCATCCCAAAGTGGACCATGACCTCTGGCTCCCTTTTGGATATGGGAGGTCCTGTCCTTTATGTTTGAGAACTCCAAGTTCACTTTCGTGATTCCCGGAGAAGGTCACCTGCACAGCCTCCACTTGGCCTTTGAACCTTGACTGCCCGCTGAAATCGTGTTTTCTCTGCATCTCGTTTCTGGCCTTTTTACTTGGTTGGTCTCATATCACAGACTCATCACTCAGCTCTTCTACTTGAGGTCAAGCAAGCGATTTCTCTGTTTCAGTGTTTCTACCTACCCCTTCGGAGGCATCAGTCCCTGGAATCCCTGCAGCCTAGATGAGATCTGGCTATTACCTTCCTGCTGTTGGAGCCTTCTTGCCCCTCCCCACATATTTAACTGCCTGAGATGATGATTTTCCTTCCCCGCTGGGCACATTTTGTCCCTCGCTTCTGCATCAGATTTTTCTGGGAGTGCGGCGGGGCAGGGGGAGCCTAATGTTTTGTCACACGCTGTAACCATAAGGATTTCATCAAAACATAGAACATTCCTTTAATGAGAGAATTGGTTAGGTCCATGAGTATCATTGGAATTATTCAAAAGAGGAAGTATTATTAAAAATGAAAATTGGATCTAGCAAGAGAATTCAGAAATAGGAATATCATTTGAAAAGCACATGAAATTGTGAACTTTGCTGGCACATTAATCTTATTAAATATAACAGTGGTAATGCAATATTGAAATGAAGCACAGCCAGAAAAAAAAATTTTTTTGACTTGTTAATCATCTTCATTCACTCTGAAAGATCCGGAAATGAGAAAAGTCACAGAAGTGGGGGCTACTGTGTAACTGTGTATGGGCTGATCTTCTGTCATAAAAACATTTGTGAGCATGAGTGAGAAAGGCTGTAGGGAATAGGGCCGTTTTTCACTGATCTGGACTATCTTGAAGGCTGTGCTCTACCAACACCCTCGACCCTTTTTGAAAAACTTGATTTTTCTACTTGTCTTCTTCACCATTTCATCTTGGAACAGTGTTAAGTGCAATGCAAGCAAATATGCCTTTAAGAAATTTGTTTGTGGAATAACTGAGCAGTTTATATTTAGTTTTCAGTTATGTGTAATGATCTTAAAGATATACAAACAGTTTTTAGGAGCATTTAAAATATTTCTTCCTTCATTCTGATCTTCACGCTGGACTATTTCTGGCCAGTGCATATTGATAAAATTTTAGGAGACTCAAGTTCAATCCCTGGGTAGGGAAGTTCCCCTGGAGGAGGAAGTAGCAACCCACGCCAGTGTTCTTGCCTGTGAAATCCCATGACAGAAGAGTCTGGCAAGCTACATTCCATGGAGTCGCAAAGAGTCGGACACGACTGAGCATGTTTCCACAGCCTTATTAGAATTGGATTTCTGTTGGTTTGTTTGTTTAATAATTTATTTTTTTATTGAATAATTGCTTTATAGAATTTTTTTGTTTTCTGTCAAACCTCAACATGAAAGAATGGATTTTTATGGGAAGCAAGCCTCAAACATGTTGGATAATAATGAAATAATCGTGAAAAAAGAAGGCTAATGAGATAGGACCAGTTTTCCCACATTTAGGTTATGGTAAAAGCTGAAAGAAATAGAAACTTGGGAACAACCCAATATCTAAAAGGGGGAATTGGTTAACAAACTGTAGACCAGAAACTAGCAAGGGAATCGTCCAGGGTCCTATTCTATCTGGGCCAGGGTTGCCCAGGGTTTATTGGTCAGCCACTGCCGGAGACAGCTACCCTCTACTGCTGACATGGAAACATTGGGATTGTTGGCTGGTCCCACTGTGGCCGCTGCCCCATGCTCCAGCCTCAGTAGCTACCGCTGCCTGTCTCCTTGGCAGACCTTTATAATGGTCATTGTCAGTTTCTGCTCCTCACTGGTCACGAACTTCTAGGGTAGCTTTGAGCTTGGAGCTCTCCAGGGTCTTCTCTGTGACTTTCTACTTTGACCAGAGATGATACGGTTCTAAAGTACCTCGGGGAAAGAAGTTGCTGAGCTAGGGGTGAAGCTCCCTAATTGATGAGGTGGCTGAAATCCTGTTGAAGGTCATGCTGTGATGAAGCCAGGTGGCTGAGAGCAGCAAGGTTGGCTTCTTGCTCTGGACTGTGCATCACACTTGGGGAGGAAGCAGATGAAGAAGTCGTGACTGGAATCGCAGATTGGCTGCTGAGAAAACAAACTTACTCAGGACTTCCTTGTTAGTCCAGTGATTAAGACTCTGTGCTCTCAATACAGGGTTATGGGTTTGATTTCTGATTCGGGAATATCCCACAGAATGAATGGTGTGGGCAAAAACAAACAAACAAAAAACCAGACTCACTCATGGCACCTCTATTAAAAGAACCTGAACTGTAGATAAAATCAGTTCTTGAAGGGGGCAGCCACATGGTCGGCCTATATCAGATGGGTGCCCTGATGGAGTATGGGAACAGCCTGTGGCCAGTACTCTGGAGAGTTTGAGTTGACCTCAGCCCAACTCCCCTGCGATGGGGCTATGAGTTTTCTTCCGTCAACTGGGCACTGTGATGCTCCTTGGGTTACCCCTACAATTTTCTTAAACTGTGCCAAAATCACCTCATATATATATTCTCCTGCGTAGTGCTTTTCCCTCTCAGTAAAGTGACTTGAGATCCCAAACAGAATACACATACACACCTATACACAAACACATACAGATCTGTTACTATTCAATAAAAGACCACCCGGTTAATTTTTTAAAAATGTTCATGAAAGAAGAGGTTATTCCCCAAAGACCTCGAGATTGCCAATAAATATCTAAACAGATACTCAGCCAGCGGCAGTGCATAAATAGCAGATGATATAGCATGGTAATTAACTGGATCCTGGAGCCTGAGTGACATTGGAGTCCTTGGCTCTGCTGTTATTTACCTGTGATGTTCAGCAAGGTACTTAATTTCTACATATTGTGGTTTCCTCTTCTGTAAATTGGTTAAGTCAGAGGACTTAACCTCACACAGTTGTTGTGATAGTTTACACGGTAGATATATGTAAGGTGCTTGCCCCATGACTGCACTGAAGTGTTAACTGTTATGCCAACAACCATGACAGTGATGAGAATGGTGGTATGTTGGTGGTGATTATGATGTTGATTGTAGTGATGGTAGTTATGGTGATGTTGCTGGTGGTGATGATGATGGTGGTGATGATGATGGTGATGATGTTGATTGTGGTTATGGTGATGGCAGTGGTGGTGATGATGGTGGTTATGGTGATATTGGTAGTGATGATAGTGGTGGATATGGTGATGGTGGTAATGATAATGTTGATTGTGGTGGTGGTGGTGATGGTGAGGGTGATGGTGATGATAGTGGTTATGGTGATGATGTTGATAATGGTGGTGGTGATGTGATTGTGGTGATGGTGTTGATGGTAGCGGTGGTGGTGATCATGATGGAGGTGTGGTGAGGATGATCATGATGCTGATGCTGATGATAGTTACGGTGGGGGTGCCAGTTTATTACCAAAGTGCTTGTACCAGCATTATATAAGTGTTCCCTTTCCTCACATTTTTCCGGTATTATTAGACTTGAAAATGTTTGGCAAATCAAGGAGAAAAAGTAGAATCTGAGGTGGTTTCATTTTCATTTTCCTTACTGCTGATGAGGTTGAGCATCTTTTCAGAAATTTATTGACTATTAGGATTTCCTCTTTTGAAAATCATTTATTCATATCCTTAGCCCATTCTTCTCTTGGTCTTTTATCTTCCTAATGATTTTTACATTGATTTCTCATTCATCCAGCAAATATTTATTTTACACCTCAGACACTGTTAAGGTGCTAAGAATACAATGGAAGAGGCTGTCTTACGGATTTTTTGTTCTAGTCAGAGGAAGACAAATAAATACTATATTCTTAGCTCTCAAAAAGTTATATGAAGAAAAATAAAGTGGGATAATCATAATAATAGTTATCATGGACTGAGTGATTTCTGTGTGTCAGCTACTAACATATTAACTTGTTTTATCCTCACAATTTTGGGAACACCATCTTTTGAAAACTTCATCTTTTGCAGCCCAGGAAGCCGAAGGACAGAGAGGTTAAGTAATATATTCCAAGTCACACAGCTGGGAAGTAGTGGAGGCAGGTTTCAAAATCAGGTGGTCCGACTCTAGCTAAGGCCTGCAGTCCTAACCAGGATAGTATGTTGCCTGTCTATACTATGCTAGAGATAGAATGTAAACAGGAAAAGAGCTTTCTATTACTACTTTATCATGTGTTTTATAAATACCTCACCTCCTTCCTCACCTCCTTCTGTAGGTTTAAAATTTTGTTCATAATCAAAATATTTAACTTAGATGTAGTCCAGTTTTATAGTGTGTACTTTTGGGTCTTTATTTAAGAAATTATTTATTTCACTGACATGAAGTTATTGTCATTCTTTTTAATTGGATTTAAAAAAAATTGTTTATTTGGAGGTGTTCTGGTCATGTCAAGTGACTTGTGGGATCTTAGTTCTCCCACCAAGGATTTAACCTGCACCCCCTGCATTGGAAGTGCGGAGCCTTAACCACTGGACCACCAGGAAAGTCCCTATTGTCATTCTTTTGCTTAATTCATTCAACAGATACTTACTTGAGCATCTGTCATATGCCAGATGCATATCTAGGTATGGATAGATGTTAACAAAGCCAACACAACTCATTTCACTACTGATTTATGATATAATCGTCATATATCAAATTCTTGTATGTAATGAGTGTTACTGGCCTGCGTACTCCGCTTCTTTGATCTATTTATTCTTGAGCTTTATTGTATCTTAATAATGTTTTAGTTGTCAAGGCATTGTGGTTATTATAGACAGTTTAGAAAATGCATAAAAATACAGAAATGATTAAAATCACTTATAATCTTACCATTTTCTATGCAGGAAATTGGAAATCGAAGGGGAAATTTTTGTAAAATAATTATAATATCAAACTATTAATGGTCATTGTGGGGAGGGGGTAAGTGATCTCTCTGGTGGAATCCTCTGAAATCTAAAATTGTTTCTTGGGACTTTCCTGGTGGTCCAGCATTAAGACTCCACCTTCTAATGCAGGGGGCTCAAGTTCCAGGCGGCACGGCCAAGAAAATTTTTAAAAATTTAAGAATTGTTTATCTTTGGCATTCCATACCATGCGTCAAGCTCTTACAGTTGACCTGTTAGTTATGACAGGCTAAGCTGCTATAACGACTAGACCCTACAGTGTAACTGTTCAACATGATAAGGTTTTTTCCTTATCGATGGGACAGCTCTGGACAGGTATACAGATGGATGGTGAGGGGACTTCCCTTCATCTTGTCCATCAGGGGTTGGCCCCCTTCCATCACATGACCCTGCCATCCTCTACTGTCTCATCCGACACCTGCCTCCAACCAGCCCAGGGGAAGGAGAGCATCCCAGAGCACCACCAGGCTCTTCTCTGGGCCAGCAGAAAGTGGGGGTTCACGTCCACTCTCATGCCAGCGACTGGAACTCAGTTGCATGACTGTACCTGACCTGCTAGCAACAGGGAAGCATAGTCCAGCTGTGAGCTCCTGGACCAAGGGGGGATACGTCTTTGTGGGCAGCTGGCAGTCTCTCTCTCTCTCACTAGTTTCTCCTGGAGCAACTGTAAAACATTTACAGTTTCCTATTAAATGTGTTCCTTTGCTTATTCCATTAAGTCCTAGTCTGCAGAACCTCTGAATACATCAAAGAGATCTGCAGGATGTGCTTATTAAATGTTTGACATTTCCATGGCTGAGAAATAGTTTGTTGGTTTACCTTGGGGTTTAAAATGTGCCACAGATTCTCTTTAGGCAGAGATGCAAGTATCTGGCATTCCTGCAGTAGCAAAATGGGGAGGCTTTGCCTTATGGATTTTTCGTAGGAATTGTGGGGGAGGTGGAAAATGGAACTTCTCTTCTTAAAAATCCAAGAGATCTTTGTAAAAGGGCGGCATGATTTCTGTGGCTAAAGGTATGGGATTCAGTAATCAACTTCAGGCAGTGAGAGTCTGAACCCTTTTCTCTATCAGATATCCCAGAAGAATCTTCTCAGGCAGGGATTTTCCTCTTATCCTGAGGGCTTCTCAGTATCTTTCCATCCCTATGGAAGAAATTTCATCTGCCAATTTTTCAGCAACTTTGTTGAGATACAGTCCATGTACCTGTGATTCACTCATTTCAAGTGTACAGTCCCATGGCTTTCATTATATTCACAGAGTTGTACAAAATCAAATTTTAGAACCAAGTCAATTTGTGACCAAAATCAATTTTAGAATGTTTTCATCACACCAAACTGAAACCATGCATCCCTTAGCTGTCACCCCCTGACACCCCCTGTCCTCTGAGTCACTCACAACTGCTAATCCATTTTCTTTCTCTTTAGACTTGCCTTTTCTGGCCATTTCGTATAAATGGAATTATACAGTGTGTGGCCCTTTGTGACTCTTTCGTTTGGCGTAGTGTTTTCACAGTTTATCCACGTTGTTGCATGAATTAATGCTTCATTTTTTAAACTGCTGAATAATATTCCATTGTATGGATATACCACATTTTCTTTATTCACCAGGTGATGGGTATTTGGGTGGTTTCTTGTACTCTTTGGCTATTTTGAAGAATGCTGCTATGGATATTTGTATACAAGTGTCTGTGGGCACAGATATTTTCATTTCTCTTAGTCATCTACCTAGGAGTCGAGTTGCTGAGTGATGTGGTAAATCTTTCTTTAGCATTTTGAGGAACTGCCAGACTGTTTCCCAGAGCGCCTGTACCATTTTACAATCCCACCAGCAGTGTATGAAGGTTCCAGTTTTTCCACTTCCTCGCCAACACATGTCATTGTCCTTTTTGGTTCCAGTTGTCCTAGGGAAGGTAAACTTTTCAGCTCTGATTCCCAAATTTTAGTGTCCTTCAGGCCAGACCCCTGCCACCCTTCCCCTGCATGCAATGCAATGGTGAGCACGTAGTAGACAGCTCAGTAAATACAGGATAATAGGCTGCACTCGACATCACCATGCAGGTAGGGAGAACTGTAGCTTTCAGAGATCTTCTTCCTGGCAATGTGTGCTTGGAACTACCCCAAGAACCAGAATTATTCACCCATCCATTCAAGAAGTACTTGTTATAAAAATCTACTAGTATTGGGCAGTAAAGCATTGGCGACCTCGGGGGTACCAATAGGATCCGCTCTCTTCTGCGCCCTTCACATACTGACACAAATGCACATAAATCTCATAACCACAGTGCCGCAAGTTTCCTACTTAACAAGGCACCAACCACGGAACCCTGAGGAAGCAAAGCCCGAGATAGAAGGACTCCCGAGTCAGAGAATGTGCAAAACCATACTATCCATGGCATATTTCTAGCTCTGGTATCTGGCTGTGATGTTTGTTTAAACCCAATCGCTAGTCAGATATTTCTGGAAGTCCTTAACTACTAGATGATTTTTTTTTCCCCTACTAGATGATTTTAAACATAAACATCACAACGGTGCAGATTTGATTCTACCGATGAAAACAAACTGCTCGTTTTGGGGATGGGAATGCTTTACTATTTTTAGACCAACAGGGTGTCATTTGGCGGGGTCTTCATGTATCACAGAAAACAAGCACTACTTTCTATTCCAGGATTAGGGAGAACAGGGAAACACACATCTATAGCTCATCCACTCACCCTTTTCTAAAATAATAATAATTGCTAGTGTCTTTTATTTTATATATTTTATTTTTTGACAGAACCATGTGGCATGTGGGATCTTAGTTCCCTGACCAGGGATCGAACCTAAGCCCCTTACAGTGGAAGCACAGAGTCTTAACCACTGGACCACTGGGGAAATCCCTCATGTGCTTGTCTTTTAAACACTTTTTCTCACTGTCGAACATGCCTTTCATGCTTTGACTCTGCAGAGAAGTGAATTAGTCACTATAACTCAAGAAGTTTGTGATTTTAATACATAAATAACCACCAGAAAGAAGAGTTCCTCTGTGACCTAGATATGGGGTGACGAGACTGCCACCTGGAGTCCTCTTAGTGGTGAAGACCAAGCCCACAGCTCTGTTGGGTTAAATCAGCACAATTCCTTCTCCCTAGCACTACATGCGGCGGGTGGGGGCCTCTGTCCTCGGGGGACCTCTAGCCTCGGCTGTCGGAGGCCCACCGC